TCTTAGACTTGTTGTAATAGGAAGGAAAAGATAAAAGTGTCATTCTTTGAGGCTATGTCCCTATAACACACTTGGTTCTAGTTGAGGGGAAAAGGAAGAAAAATGTCAACTCTAGTAACTGCTAAGTGCTCAGTTTTACTTGGTGAAATAGAAAATAAATTCCCCGAACAGCTATTGTAGTAGAGTTCAGGTCTCACTTGTGCTTCTAGATCCCTGATGCTTCCATTCAGTAGGTGGAGCTATTTCTTTCCTTGGACAAGAATGTGGCCTGTGAATGCCTTCAGAGGAAGAATAAAACAGAAGTGACCCTGTAGGATTTCTCAGGCTAGGTTATGAAACAGAGTCTGGCTACCACTAGTAGCGATTTGTCTCAGGATACCTGCCCCAGAACTCAGCCACCACCCTGCAAGGAAGCCCAAGCACAAAGCTACTGGAGTATACCACATGTAAAGGTTCTGGTCCACGGACCTAGTGAAGTTCCCAGCTGACAGCCAGACATGTAAGCCAATGAATCTTGAAGTGATTCTGGTTCACAGTCTGAGGATTCAACATCTAGGGCATTAAACATCACTGACAGAAACACCCTAAGAGAGGAAGTATTACTGTTTTGAGATACTGGACTCTGAATTCAGTATTACTTTTGTTGCCTGAAAAATCTCATTCTTAAAAGTTTTAGGCTCATCTAAGGTAGATTAATGTCTTTTTTAGTTGCCTTTCTGAAACAAAAGTAAATCATCAAACTGTTACAATGAATATGGCCCTAAGAAATATGTGCTTACATGAAAAAAATTATAAAATACATGTGGAAAGAAGTCATTCAGAATGAGTAGTCAGAGCAGGGCAGAATTGGATAGACTACAGAAATTGGAATTAACGGGGCTGGGGATTTAGCTCAGCGGCATAAGCACCTGCCTTGCAAGTGCATGGTCATGATTTCGATCCCCATTACTGACAAAAAAAAAAAAAAAAAAAAAAAAAGAAATTGGAATTATTAGATCTATGTTTAATATATTTATTTTTGCTTTTCAAATCTATTTTATTTTAAAGAGAAAAATAAAAAAATTTCAAAACAGTAACGAGGGGGTAACAATGGTATATACATATATATGTGTTTTATATATACATTCATATATATATATATAATTTCTTTCAGCTTCTCATACTACTGAGACAATATGATGTTCCCACAAGTGTGTTGGACTTATTTCATTTATGAGTATGGTCTCAAGTTGTATCCATTTACCTCAAAAGTCTCAAGTTTATCCTTTTTCATGGCCAAGTAGTATGGCACTGTAGAAAGAAATACCACCTCTTTTTTATCCATTCCTCAGTCAATAGGCATTTATGTTGTTTCCAAGATTTAGCTATTAGACATTGTGCTGTTATAAACATGGGTACACATATATCACTGTGGTATGACGTTTTTAATTCTTTTGGGAAGATACCCAGAAGGGGAATAGCTGGGTCAAACAGGACCTCCAAAATATCTTTAAATAAAGGAGGATATCAAAATATAAGAAAGTAAACTAAAGCGAGTGTGGTGGCTCATGCCTGTAACCCCAGCACTCACGAGGCTGAGGCAGGAGGATCTTTGTGAGTTTGAGACCAGCCTGAGCTACAAAGTGACTCAAGGTCAGCCTGAACTGCATAAAGAGACCTTGTCTCAAAAAGACTAAAAAAAGAAAAAAAGAAAGTAAACTATACAAGTATGCCTATAATCTCAGCACTTGGATCACCATGAGTTCAAGGCCAGCTTGAACTGCAGAGTGAGACCTTATCTCAAAAACAACAAAAAAAGTAAACTGTAATATTTGCAACAAACACAAACCTGTAGTCTTGAGCAACGGATGAAGGACAAAAATTTCTATCTCAGTATTTATGTAAGACTTTAAGTACTGACAGCCGGGCTGGTGGTGCCAACCCACAGTCCCCACTCTGTTGGAGGCAGAGGCAAGAGGATCACAAGTCTGAGGCCAGTGAGGGACAATATAGCAAGACCCTGTCTCTCATAGGAGATATATGGAGATTGGGAGAGTAGATCACACGCCCTGGGCTGGATCCCCAGCACCAAACCCAACCTGACCAAAACAATGACAAAAAATCTAAACTATTAACAACCATGAAAGAAGGCCAATATACAAGAGACATGGCAAAAAATGATTAGGTTAAAAGACTTTACATGGTAAACGTTATGTTTCCTTATCTTAATAGTCCGTGAAGATGCTGGCTTGGTGGCCCACTCATGCAATCTCAGCATTTTGGGAGGCTGAGGCAGGGCGATCACTGAGAGCTCAAGGCCAACCTGTGTTACAAAGCGAGTTCAAGGCCAGCTGGACTACAGAGTGAGGCCCTATCTTAAAACAAAACAAAACAAAACAAAACAAAAAAAAAAAAACAGTGAAATTCTAATAAAAATATCAAGCAGTTTCCCCTTGAACATGACCAACCTAATTCTAAAATGTGCGAGTATATTCAGAAGAAAAAGATCAAAAACAGCAAACATACCTTGAACAACAATTTCAGGTCTGGTCATAGAAGATAATAGTGCTATAACAGCTCACATAATTAAGATATGGATGTCAAGACTGCTTGTAGCAACATACAGACAAGATATACAGGGAAATCTGATTGCATGAGCTGTCAGTGCATCAGAGGCAAAGTGATGAATTGAGTTGGTTTTTAAAACTTCAGTCTTTCCTTTGAAACTGTTTTTCATATTGCCTCTGAATGATTCTTCTGAACACAGCCGATTATGTTATTTAACCAATGACATCCTACTCTAGGCTTGCCAAGTGTTCCACCATTGAGCTACAACCTAGGAACTAGGTTCCAGCCCAGGTTGACCTTGAATGAATTTGAAGGGATTCTCCTGCCTCAGTCCCCCAAATGCTGGAATTGTAAGTATGGGCCACCATGCCCAGCCCAGTTCCTATGTATTTGCTTTTGACATTAGATGTTAATTCAAGAGTATGGGGAGCAGTTAATCTACATATTTTTAAATGAGTTGAGACTTAAAAATAATTTTAGTGCCAGGGATGTGGTACTAAGGATCAAATCTAGGGCCTTGCACATGCTGTACAAATGTTGCACCACTGAGCTACAACCACAGTCTTATGCAATTTTTTTTTTTAATTAGAAACAATTTGAGAAGACTAAGTGTATAGTTAAGTGTATAGCACTTGCCTGGCACATGTGAGGCCCTGGGGTCAATTCCTACCAACTCCAACAAAATTTTGATTCTTGGTCCTAAAATTTTACATGCATACTAAAAATATGAAGGAATTTATAAAAGAATATACTGCATCTATAAATTTTGTAGATAAAATCTAGATTTCTCTTGTGAATCTTGAAATAAGTTTGCTTATAATCGGACTCCTATAATTTACGTATAGAATATAAATAAAATTGAAAGCAAAGAAAAAAAGTTGTTTTAACTTGCAACTATTAAAAAAACTTGCAATTATTTGCAAGTAATGTCTTTAACAGAACACAGAGAAAAATGCATAGATCCAAATTCTCAGTAAATATGAAGGATAGTTAATCTCACCATTAACAAAAGATTTTAGAAAAAAAATTACACAAACCCAGAAACTTATTTTTAAATACAAGTTAATGCTAAACAGGCTATTATATCAAGATAAATAGTCTCTTTACTACCAGTTTGAATATAAACTGGTATAATGTTTTTGGGAATATGATTTACAAGCAAAACCTTAAAATGGCCAATTTAGAAACTAATTTTTTTTTCTTTTTGAGACAGAATTTTGTAATTCACAGTGTGCATTGGGTAGTGCACACTTGTATTAGAAAACCAAAAAAAAAAAAAAAAAAAGAAATGATGTAAAGCAATTAGTTTTTAATGTTATCTAGACATATCTTATAATGCTTATAATCAGACTCCTATAATTTACGTATAGAATATAAATAAAATTGAAAGCAAAAAAAAAGTTGTTTTAACTTGCAACTATTAAAAAAAACTTGCAATTATTTGTAAGTATGGGCCTTGAACTTACTTTGGAGCCCAGAATGGCCTGGAACTTGCAACAATCCTCCTGTCTCAGCCTCCTGAGTGCTGGGATTACAGGCATGTGCCACCATGCTTGGCTAGAAACTAGTTCTAATGAAACAGGCATAGAATAAGGCATAGCCAAATGTTTAATAAATATGTGTTAAATCAATAAAAAAACAAGTGAAAAAAGTAATTTTATAAAATGTAATTTTTGTGAAAAATCTCTGTAGAAAAAGAATTAGAATGACACACAAATGGGAAAAGAGGTCATGGGCAATTTAAAAAACAGCTTTATTGAGGTATACTTTGACACACTGTAAAATTCACCTAATGTATATGTACAATTCAATTGCTTTATTTATATCGTAAATTATCACCATAATTAAGCACCATGGGCATTTTTTTCTCATTTAATCTTTTCCGTAGCATAATACAAGGCCTTTGTTTGAAAGGCTCCTTCAATGAAAGATGTGTGGAGATAAACTAAAATTGTCTATACAATTACTTTCTAACCATTTGAATCAGCTTCTCCAATTGGGCCCATGCATCTTTTTAGCACACTCTAGATTTTAAAGCAGCAATAAGGCTGTTGCGTTAAGAAGCTAGCAGGAGCGACATGCATAGGTTCTGTTTGATGCATACATTAATATCATTATTATTGATCTTTCTGTAAAAAGGTTTTACAGAATAACATATATGGTCGCAGTTCCCAACGGAAATGCAGATACAATATGAAACCAATGGCGAGCAACTATTCTGCTTCTCAGTCTTAACGACAGTGGAGTACACACGCTTCAGGTGTTGCCCAACCCACCTAGGAAGCTGACTAATCTTATCCTCAGTTCGTGAGAAATCCAGAGAAAGAACCTTCGGTGTATATTCACTTAGCAATCTGGAACAGAAAGCCCTTTGGGAAGAAGTCGACTGAGATCGGTTAACACATAAATGCCTGCAGAGCCCCGGTTCCCAATGCCCACCAAAGGCCTCCTACCTGCAGAGAAGCAGAGCAGGGACATCCGGTGCTTTAGGCGGCCCAAACCTAGCACGGTGGGAGCAAAGAACATAGCCTCATCGTCTGGGTGTGCAATCACCAAGAGGGTCCGGCTTCCAGCTCCCGGCAGACCAGCTTGCTCCTGAGTTCTTTTTCGTTCTGAGGAGTCCCAAACCCGAAGAAAGGCCCATATCAGCACCGCTGCAGTGACCCACAACAGGACCACCTCTCCCATGCCGGGTAAGTGACACTGCGCCTGCGTAGTAGCGAAGGCTGGCGCCTGCTCCCGTTCCGGTGAGAAAACTGCACCCGCAGAAACTGCGTTCCGCATTTAAGTGTGTCGTGGCTTCATTTTAAAAGTAGGGTTTGCTGTCTTAACACGGAAGCTCCCCACGTACTGTACTGTCTCCATCTTTAGCAGGATTTTTAGTCTTGTGTCTGCGCGGTTTTAGAGCAAAATCGAAGCCCGTGCTGTTCAATTTAAGATTATTGTCTGACCCTACCGAACAATGTTCTTAAAAGGAAGCTACTAAAATTAAACTACAACTGGTAGAAAAAGAGCTTCTTTCTCTCTTCAACTCATTTTTCAAAACCCTAGTTTTCCTAATTATATGGTTAGCCTGTACCTAAAGTTTTGCAAAAAGGCCTAATTTTAACGCCACTTTTTCCTTTTCAGTTTTGAGATGTAAATGATGGCTTTTCTAAAAACCGAGCGCATGGGGCCAAGGGGTAGCCGTACAATCGCTTCACGTAGGAGCAGGCTAGTAAGGTTGCGGGAGTGCACGTCCCAGTCCTGAGGATAAAAGTCGTTAGGCGTTACTACAGATTAAGGAGTAACACCGTGCACTAATCAGCCTCTCCCGGCGTTTCGGCGAGGAACTGGTGCCAGAGTATGGTGTACGTCGCCGAGCATCGCTGCCACGTGGTGACCGGGTCCTTCTATCCAGATCTCTGGCTGGTGGTGGCCGCTACCGTCCCACCGCGGAAGGGTCGCAGGCCAAAGCCACAGCCAGCCGCCCTTCCATTTCCCACGCCCGGAGGAGGAAGGCCGGGGGCGCGCGGAAGCCGGTCCGCCAGCGGCGGGCGCCACAAGCCTGTACGCGATGGCAGTCGCGCCGGGGCCCGCAGCGGGCGGTGCCGCCCGGGCCCGTGTACGAGCGAGGGCACCACAGCCGAGAGGCTGAGGGGACACGTTAAGTGGCCAGACGTTGGGTGACCCAGGAAACTAAGTAGGAGCGGCGTCCGACCAGCGGAGGGAGTCGCTCTCCCAGCCCTCCGGAAGAAGGAGGAGCTCGCGTCGGAGCCGCCTCAGCCGCGGCCGCCTGGGCTAGGGGGAGGGAGAGGGGTTGAGTCAAGATGGCGGCCAAGGTGGCGAAGCAGCAGCCCCGGCGGCGGCGGCGGCGGCCGGAGTGAGCGATCGGCTCGCAGCGCCCAGCGCGGCCCCGGTGTAGGACCGCGCGCCGGGCCGCGTCCTTGTTCCTCAGGCCCGGGGGCGCTCCGACTCCTACGTTCCGCCGGCTCCGGGTGAGTAGGCCCGGGCACCCGCAGCCCCGGCCGGCCTCCGGGCCCCTGCTCGCCTGGGGCTTCCGAGGACTCGCAGGGCACCCGCCGCAGGCGCGGCTTCTCGGGCGGGCTAGGGGCGTCGCGGGCCCGGCCAGGTCGGTACCTGCCCAGCCTCCCGGCCCCTTTCCTCGGCCGCCCCGGGGTGAGTCGGGCGCGGCGTGGAGCTCGGGCTGAGCGGGAGGCGGCTTACGGAGTTTGGAGGAAGAATGGGCAGCGGCCGGGCGGGGGCCGGCCCCGAGGTGTCGGAGGTGTGGGGAGGGGGCGTGCGGAGCCTCGGGCGGGCGGTGGGGACGCGAGGGCCGGTCCCGGGTGGGGCTGGCGCGGATGGCGGGCCGGGGTCACCCCGAGGTGGGGCTGGGGGTCGTGTTGGGGGCGTAGGAAGGGTTACGGAGGGTGACAGCGGTGAGCAAGTGTGTGAAGAGCAAACTAGTTACCTTTCTAACCAGGCCACTCACTTCAGGATGTAATAATGGCGAAGGGTGGGTAGTGGTAAGGGAAAGATCCGAACCCTCTGCCTTCCGCCGTTTATTATTGGTGTCTTCATGGGCTGGGTGGGCGAATGCACCTCGTTTTGGGGAGTAGAGGGATTTTAGAAAATTAAGAAATCAGCCTTAAAGGAGAAGAGACCGGATTCATTAAATTAACGGATCAGTAGTCATCTATTAGAGGAATGGGTGAGAGTAACTGATATTTATGAAAAGTATTTGCTCAGGAAATGTCAGGGTTGCATGGCTCAGTGTCTGTTCGGCAGAGTTAACCTTGGAAAGTCGTGGTATGGGTAATTCTAATCTTTGGGGTTAGTATATTCACCTGCATTAGATTGGCTTGCCTAATTATACCGTAATTATATCGAAATTCACATTCCTTGTGTGTACCCGGGTGAGGCAGTGATGGGAGGCTGAACATGGCAGTGTGTTAAAGAGCAACAGGCCCGGGATTTAAAAATGCCAACACATATTCATTCATTTGTTCAGCATATCTTGATCAATAGCTGCTGATGATTCTAGGTCACGTGTGATTGTGAATAACTGAAGAGTTGATGGCATTGCTGTGTATTTAATTTTTAATAGATTTTTGAAGTGTTTTTATGTACTCCATAAAAATATTTATTAGATGAAACAATTTGTACTTGCTTGAGCTCAGGCTATTTAGAATCTTATGTAGACAAAACTTACAGAAGAAATAACAAGTTACTACAGAGAAAAATCTTATTTTTTCCTTCAGTTAAAATCTAGTAAGAGTTTATTTTATTATTTAAAGTTTCCGGTTGCTTTGCCTTGCTTTAAACACATCAGTTAAGGAACATTATATCAACACTGTGATTATCAGTCACATACCAGGAGTGATTCCTTTCAATACCAAAATACTCTTTTACAAAAGCTTGCCATATGTTGAACGACAATACCGGAGAAAATGTAATACGCTGAGTTCTGATTCTTCCTGTAACTGACATTTTGTAGCATGATCAACCTTTCTGTGCTCCAGTTTCCTCATCTATAATATTAGGAAAACATTTGTTCTCCTTGGGTTGACTGTTAGAAGTCTAAAGGGAGTTAATAGGAAATTGCTTTAAATAGATTCAAAGTGTGCTTTCTATGAGGTGGTAACAGCTCTGTGATCCAATAATGCTTTATCTGTGAATCTCTCATTGGTGGTTACCCTTTCTACCTTGTGTTGTAGGTATTCATGTACCTGTTTATCTCTTCTGGAAAGCAGGATAGGTCTTTCTCAGATTTTATCTTTATGTTTAAGGCACCAAGTTGTGTGTGTGTGTGTGTGTGTGTGTGTGTGTGTGTATTGCCACTGCAAATTTTTGTTGAATAAATGTAGGAGTATAGTTAGAACAAACATTCATATTACAACATATTAAAATACACCTGTTATCTATATAGCTTTCTGTGGCGCTCTCCATGGCCTCTGGAGGAATGTAAAATTTTAACAATGCCTCCTTGGATTTTGAAAGATACAGTAAAAGTTGTTTGGACTGTCCTTGTAATTAAAGGTGGACCAAAATGCCAGAAATTATGTTTCTTTGTATTTGAGTAAAAATTTGTACATAGTTAGGTAAGTTTATATTATTCAGATGTCTGAAGCATTTGTAAAAATTGTGAAATTGGAGTTTGTTGCTATTGTAGAAAGCAAGGGCTTTTGGTTAGGACCAGAATTGATGTAGGTAAATTTTAGGCTGTTACTCAATATTTTGTGTTAGATTGTTATTTAGTTTTATTGTATTTCATGGTCTATCTTAGTTGTAATTTCAAATTCTTCATAATGTCTGAAAATGATAGCACTGTCACATAGTTACTTCCGTACGCATGTATGTATGTATGTATTTATGGGATTTTGCTGTTTCCCAAGCTGGCTTTGTATTACTGCGTTTAAGTTGGTACAGTCCTCGTGCCTCAGCCTCCTGGGTAGCTGGGACTACTGGTTTGTACCACAGCACTTGGCCCCATGTATTATTTCACTAGAATATGATACAAAGCGAAGAGTAAAGGTTAATCAGAATTATTATGTGTAGACTTACAGATTACAGCCTCAGGTGCTTCCAATCATTCACTTTGATACCAGACACCTATTACATTCAGGGTACAGCAGTAATTGCTGTAAAGCCCAGATGCATGGTTGAGATCAAGTATATGTACAGATAACTCAGTCTTCAGATTGCCCGACACTTTGTCATTTTCAAGCATTAGGATACCAAAGGCAATTTTGATGGTTAGGAAAACATTTTTCTCTCAGGACTTCTTAGAGGTATTGACAAACTTTATAAAAAGTTTCTGTAATGTAGCAGTAACTGCATGCAGCATCTGTTTTTTATTTTGGTACTTTTGTATTTTTCTTGAGCAATTTTGCTTTCTTCTACCATTTGTGCTGCTCCAGGAGTTTGTATGGTCAAGACATTTCTTGGATAGTCTTCAAGATAACCAGCTCCCCTAACCTTTGCACTTGAAAGCCCAACTCCTTACCAAACTGAGTGTTCATGTGGAGTTCCTCAGCTGCTATTTTTATTTAGTAGCCATTTCCAGGCCAAACTAAATTGACTGAAATACAATGTTAATAATTTATAGAACCATAGAATGTAGTCAGACAGGTTTAGTCTTGTTTCATTTTTGAATAAACTGAGGGGCTGAATAAACTGCGAGTGGTCTAAATTGTTGCAGTCGGTTGGTAGCAGGAGCCAAGTTTCTTATATCCAGCGTAGTGCTCATTCTGTTAAACTTACTTCTGTGGCATGGTTCAATGTGACGTTTGTTATTTAAAACAAAAATTGGAGTGGATGGAGAATAAGAGCTCACCATGGCTATTCATCTTATGTATTGAATTTAAAATAATATTAAATTTCTGCAATGAAAATATAGTTTAAACATTACATTGATCTAGGTTACTGATGTGGTGATCCCTGGGAATGTTTGCCTAATATTTAATCTACTTTGTTGCAAATCTTTTATTTTGTTTTATTTTTTAGTTTTTTTAGTAGTACTGGAGATTGAACCCAGGCATTTCTACTGAATGGCATTTCTAGTCTTTTAAAAATTTTTTTGAGATAAAGTTGCTAAGTTGTTGGATTTTCCAGGCTAGGCTTGAACTCAGTCTTCCAGAGTGCCAACATCATAGGCCTGTGCCACCAGGCTAGGCATGACTATTTCCTTAAACAAAAAAGTCTTTGAGGCTGTCTGAATTTAGTGACACTTCATGTAACCTTTTTTTTGTTTTGAGTTGAACAATTTATTGGAGAAAAGAAATGGGAATGGGAATGACTCCTGAAAGACAGGAAAGGATCCTAAATGGGTTGTCCCACTTGGTGTAATTTAATCATCACAGTGATGGAAATTGTATTATGTGAAGCATTAGGAACTCTGTCACCCAAACAAGTAGGTTAAACTGACACCTAGATTTTTTTTTTTTTAAAGTATGAGAGACTTCAGTTGTTTCATAAAAGCTTAGATAAATAGTATGGACCTGATCTGAATTTTTAGTGCTATATTGAAAAGCTCATTTTTAATATTAGTTTTTTTTTTTTTTCTTCCTGTGGTGTGTTGTGACTCTGGGCTCTAGGAGTTCTAAGCATGAGCACTGCTGGAACTGCATTTTATTTTTTTATTTAAAAAAATTTTTTTTGTGCCAGGGATCAAACTCATGACCACGGGCTTGTGAGGCAGGCCCTTATGCCGCGGAGCTGAATCCCTGGCTCCTGAAACTGCATTTCTAATCCGTTTCCAGTTGTGTAATACCGTACTAGTTTTCTAAAGATACTCATGCTATGCAGTGTACTTAAGGAAAAGGCATATTACTTTCTTTAAACAGATAATTGTCACATAAATACTTAGGTTAGGCATGTTTATTTAGGCTATTAAATAATATACCTATTTTCAGTTGTTTTTCTTTCACAGTGCTTTTTTTCAGGAGTGTTCTATGTTACTTGTCCAAACTCTACCACCGTTGAATTCTGCTTGTTTTGAAAGGCTTGATCACATAATACTTCATCCAGAAAGTCTTCCGTCATTTCCTTTTCTCTAAAGCATGTATTTTTGTTCAGAAAATTCTTGATGTTTTATATTTGCCATATACTTATATACATTTCTGTTTACTCCCTACTAGACCATAAGCCCTTGTAGGCTTTGCACATCAGTTATTTTTAGCAGTTATT